TGATAAGCGATTTCACTATGCAAACACATTTTGCTTTTATAATTTCATACACTTATCAAATCCAAGAATCTACACCCGGTTTTGTTATCTTTACCAACTTGACAACATAAAAGTTACCTCACCCTGAAGGACGATATTTAAGTTGTTATATATAAGCTGAGTGGGTTTTGTAAATTCCGGTTTAATAATACTACTACTTTGATAAAGCTATTAGCAGCAGCATTAAATAGCGAAACGTCAGTAAAACACAACAACAATATCATTTGTTTTTCATTCATTTGGAAATACAAAAACGCTTTATAATAATGAAGATTTCACGTGTACTAGGATGGATACGAAATACATCTACCTGGTAATACTGCCCAGTTGTTCAGACTGAAATTACTTGGAGTGAGATTCGAACCCTTGAACCTTAAGCTGGAAATCAAGTGCTTAGGCGAATGAACCACATCTGATTTGTTATCAACCATCTAACTGAACGTGATTCGAACAAAGGGAAATTCATTATGAGCTGACATCATCGAAGAAGACATTGAGAAGTGGTCGCGCTGTGTCATGAATTGGCAGAAATTAGAATTCATGGACAACTGGATCAGGTCCTGGTGGCTAATGAGCGGTCTACGAGCCAGCTCACCTTGTAACCAGACGGCCCAGGATTCGAACCATGGCGGTGGAGTTGGTGCGTACTGATGAAGAGTCCCAAACTAGGCTAACGAAACAACTGTCTGGCAGTACCCCAGTTCTGGTTTTCCAATCGTTCTCTAACCGATGTGTCAGCTGACGATGAAATCCTGTAACCAATCAATCAAATCCCTACAAAACCAATACTTGAAACGAGAAATTCAGATGAACGAAGTCGCACAACAAATTCACTCCAAGATATCTTTTTTTAAAAATTTATGTGTTGTGTGATGTCCTCTAGAGGAATAATGTTTACGTTATTGCAGAACTTAGTCTGTGAGACTCAGAATCGATTGCAATGTTGCATATACATCAAATTCCTCTTTTATTTTAATCTTCTCACTATAGAGTGCACACACTGACCAGTATTAACATGGAAATTTGTGTCAGACCTAGTGTGGTGAGAGTTGTCTGCAAAGCTTAACCTTGAGGAACTCAACAACCAATCACAGCAGACTTTGCGTGGGCGGATATGATTCGCAGATATATTAACGGACTGTCTAAAAATCGGCAACAAAGAGATGACAGAATAACCTTGAGCAGGAAAACAACCAATCACAAGGCGTTGCTTCTCTGCTAAAAAAACGAATAATAATGTACATAAAAATCCATAAATATCTGTTGCATTTCTCAATAAAGGATCTGTTGCCTGGCCTGGCTTGTCTTCTGTCGTTACTCTAGTAGGTTGGAAACAGATAAAATGTTAAGATGATAATAGTTTTTAACGCACTGTGTAGGTAGGATATCACCTTGTGCTAAATGAGACTGACAGATCAATTTTGCACAGAGATGTACCACTTCAGGTTGGCACACTTTGAAAAAGTACACAAAATAAGGGAAAAGAGGGATCCCAACCCGTCAGTCAGTCAATTAGCTTCTACCTACATGGTTTATTCCAATAGCCAATGACTCAGGGATTAGTGTTATGTTTTGGTCAAGTTACTCTTGATTCTATTTCAACATAACCCGATTCCGGCTAACATTGGTTGTCAAGGTAGGTGGCAACTCGATAGGCGTAACAGTTGTCCTAGACATCTCAATCAATAAGGAAATAAGAGTTTCAATGTTCGATTTACTCATCTTATCTAACCTCATTATAACAAGGGTAAACAACAGACACCAAATTCAAATGACCTTGAACCAACCAATCAGACCACTGCCCAGCATTACAAATAGACACTATCCATAATCTTTGTTGCAAGTTTCACCCAGATTTGGTTTTTGACTTCTGTGTGGAAAATGGGTTTATGGTAGGGAGGACTAAAACATCGCCATATGTGGGGGGAGGGATAATGACTCTGCAAAAGTATTGCCAAGTGGGCTATTGATGGTTGGTTATGCACTCAGATGCAATCACTGTTATATGAGGAAGTCTGTAAGAGTTGGTAAGTAGTACATTATGGTGAATCTTTAGATACTTTCATCTCAAAATCGAAACTCCGCCTTAGTAAAATATTGCGTGTATGCCACAACTGGGCTACTGAAGAGACCAATATCTGCTACAGCTGTACAGAAACAGAGAATAATAAAATGCCAACAGTGCAGTGAGTGGTATCAGCACTGTCGGGATATTGCCTCACAAAAGATCAATGGAATTACTTCTGTATTTGGAAGAGCCGGCATCGTCGTTCATTTTGACAAAACAGTAATTATTAAGCGAAAAATGAATCGTCACGGTAGGAGAAGAGCAAATCATGTTTGGGTGCTGGGATTGTACGACACGAAACTTCGAGGAGGGTTTGTAGAACGCACCACCCAAACAGAAGTGTTGGCGTTTTGATGACTGTTATACAACGACTAGTCTTCCCAGGCACTACCATTCACACAGATGAACGGAGTGATTATTCGCAAATATCATCACTAGGTTATATTCATCATAAAGTCAATCATCCTCCTGGATTGGTGTATCCTTTATGTAGAACCCATACAAATTCTATTGAAGGGTTCTAGGCTCATCTATAAAAACGCATTAGAATGGTAAATAGTTCCCGAAACGATATAGTATAGTATATAGACACTTAAATGAACTTTTGCATCGACATTGATTTGATATGCCTACAACCATTCCTACGAGAAACTAGGACCAATTTTGCAGCATATTAGAGATATATACCCTGTATAATTCATTTTTAATACATATTATTGTTACTCCCATGGTTTCCGAGTGGAAGGTAGGACTCCAAAAACACCTCTCCACTATCTTCTATTTTCCGCTGGCTGTGCCCACCACTGTCACCTTACAAGAATTGGTGGACCACGCTGATAATGACTTATCACTAGAAATCCAGGCAACTTCTTGTGTAGATCCAGTCGCTAGTAAGCATTCGATTAGTTTTCAAAATGTGTTGGTTTACAGGGATTTCGTTAGCTATAGATGTTTGACTGAATGCTTTACAAAACTCGAAAAAGAAAAATGGCGCCCTAATTAGCTCTTGGGATAGATAATTGGAAGGAACATTTTGAGGAGCAGCTTAACTGGCCTACAGTCACGCTCAACTTACCCAGAATCTAATACCTTCAAGAATGGAATATACACACAGGTCTTCCGTCCCTAACTGATGTTACAAAAGCTGTCTCTAATCTGAAATGACTCCGGAAGTGTTTGAGGATGGTGGAGACAATTTACCGTCTCAGTTAATTAAGGTATTAGGCAACGTCTGAAAATCAGAGATAGTCCTGTTGGGCTGGTGTAAGTCATTGATTATCCCCCCAGTGTACAAGAAGGGATACAATTCTTCCTATGATAACCACAGGCGGATTAGCTTGACCAATACGGTATCCAGAGTTCTAGGTTCAATAATAATGCATAGATTAAGCAGTCCTCGGGAGAAACAAACAAGAGAAAACCAGGTAGGATTTAGACCAGGAATAGGGTGTCTCGATCATATCTTCTCCCTTCGACAGATTCTCGAACATAGGCATATTTAGTGGTGTCCAACAACTGCCACTTTTCTTGACCTGAAGACGGCTTTCGAATAAGTCGACAGTGGGGTACTATGGCAATATTTGGCTGTGAAGGGAGTGACAAGAAAGCACATCGCACCAATCAAGGTACTCTATTCGAACTCATACAGCCAGCCAGGGGAGAGCCTGCAGAGAGTTGTCATCTGCAGTGATGACAACCAGTGGTGTCCGTCAGAGATGTCCAATGTCCCCATTTCTCCTTGATTTCATCATAGTCGTACTAATGGACTTAACCATAAATCACTTCAGCCACTCAGGGATTAACTTGTTAACACAGAATAACCCCGTTGACTTAGAATATGCCGACGATATAGTCCTTCCTCCTAGGTGAAGATGATGACAAAATATAGCAGAAATCTTCAATTCGCTCTTGTCAAATGTAAGATGATACTACAGGACTGGAATACATTAACTGCTAGCTTAAAGATGGACAGGAGTAAAGTAGTAGGGTGTATTGACCACTTCACTTGTTTGAGAAGTTGCATCAGCCAGCCAACGCCAACGGATTGATCACTGACGAAATCTCATTTAGCATTTGCCAACGTACGTCATCTCTAGTGTAGACGTGATATCCTGCTGGCTGCATGTCGACCAAAGGACGTATGTACTGCTCAGTAGTTCGCTTTGTCCTCCTCTTCTATAGCTGTGAGATATGACCATTGAAAGTGGGAGACATGAAAAGCCTGGCTAGCTGTCTGTGTTCCCCCTCACGTGTTAGGTGGTATAATAAGACGAGTAATATTGAGATTAGGCGTCGAGTGTTATGTAAGAACGGAAAGTTAATCGATGAAGTTGTGAAGCTACATCAACTGAGATGACATGGACACGTGTTACTCATACCTAGCCATCGCCTTCCTCAATAGGGAATGTCAACTGACATAGGATGCAAAAGAGCTAGTGGTGCTCCAATCGAAACATGACATTAGTCCACGAAATATTTGACAGTTGGCCTGAGCTTATCACATAGGGAGGTGTAGACATCCTGGTTGGGGTCCTCAGGATGGTAAAAACCAGTGGATGGAGACAATTGGTGATAGAGTTCAAAATCGTTCTCAAAGGCACAGATGCATTCACTCTTTGTGATTTGTCATAACCAAATAAAACTTTATTGTTCTTCCATTTTACTATTCTTTCCCTTTACACTTTTGTTTATTATCTCTCTTCTCTTGCTTTGTGTGCTACATGGGGGGAGTGTGGCAACTGGAAATGCTGCACATCTGCGCAAAGTTCTATTTTGGAACCAGTCAGTTAGTCAGTCTACAAACTCGCCTTGTAACCGGAAGGTCCTGGGTTGGAACCCCCCCCAGCAGTGGGTGAATATTGCTGTTGGGTCCAGATCTAGAACTACTAGCTTTCCACCAATGAAATCCATTCAAATCAACACTTGAAAAAAATTCTTAAAAAGTTCTCATTATTACAGGATAAATACTGCTTTGTTTTTGTTGTTTTAGAAAATTTACATTTAATTAAACCTTAAAATAACAAAATATGTTCGACATTAGTTTTTTTTATGCAACGGGAGGTACACCAGTAGGCGGTGGTGGGCCGTTAGCCGTTCCTGTAGACTGCCATGTTTGCTCAGGGTTTGGAAATCCTTGGAACGTGGGAGGTGGTGGTGGCGGCGGTGGTGCAGGGAAGCTAGCTGACGGTGAAGGCGGTGGCGGAGGAGGTGGGAAAGCTGTTGAAGCACCAGATGGAGCGACAGGCACTGGCAAGATTGGTGGAGGTGGAGGAGGTGGTGGTGGCATTGATCCAGGCATAACAGACTGACCGTAACCCATTAAAGTATTCTGATGAATAGGTGGAGGAGGCGGTGGCGGCATAATTAATGATGATGGCATAGCAGGTATTCCCATCGGTGTCATTGATGGGATTGAATGACCCATATTGCCTGCAAGTAAAGTGGGTGGAGGTGGTGGCGGAGGAGGCGGTGGAGCATCTGCAAACAACTGATGTGGACGTTCAGCCTAAAATGAAAATTTAAAAATATATATTATTACCAAAAAGTTCCCAACCAACAACTAGTTAACTTGACGTGGTGGTTGAGCTTACACATTACAATGACCCCAACGAGCTACGCTGACTGCAAATAATGTTCCTGAAGGTTCTACCACGCCAGAAAGGTTGTTTGGATAGCGGTTAGACTAAAAGTAGTTAATGTAAACTGTTTACGCTATGTTGGGGGAAGTCATGCTGCTGGGGAATAGGAATGTAACAGCAGTAAGGTGTTTCCCCTAGATGACAAGCATGCCATCTGTGCTACCTATCCGTTCTGCAGATAAGGGGTTGAAAAAGTTCAACCTCGAAAATTGTACAACCCAAATTACCTAGCGACAATCCGTAGTTATTGATAAGATCTAAATACGGACAAAACGCCCAAAACGAATACAGACAGGTTATGTGCGACCACCAAGAGATGAAGCCATCAAAAAGTTAACGTAGGGACTACTTTTCAGGTGACACATAGGTGGTAGCTTGTATAAGCTGCAGTTGCTGTTACAGAGCAAATACAATGGTCTATGAAAAATTATGAATACTGGGGTCATTGAGTGAGTCACTAGTGGTTTAGTTTTTATATATGTAGGAACTTAAACTGATGTGGGTCTTTTTTATACTGTTCTACGTTGGTCTATTTTTTCAGCTGTTCTCAAATATAGTGGTCATTTGAATGATGTCCACTCAAACATACGGCTTATACTTAGGAGTACTGGACAGCTGTTTCGCCAGCCCAGTTTGTTTGGGACTCTTCATCAGTACGCAGTCACACCACGGGATTCGAACCTAGGGCCTTCTGGTTACAAGGCGAGCTAGCGAGCTCGTAGACCATTAAGCCACTGGGACCCGATACAATGGTCCATGAATTCTAACTTCTGCCAATTCACGACATAGCGCAGCCACGGTGGGTGCGTACCGACGAAGGGTCCCAAACTAGACTGACGAAACAGCTGTCTGGCAGTACTTCAGTGTTGGTTTTCCAATGGTTCTCCAACTGATATTAACTCATGATGAAATTCTTCAACCAATAATTGAAAATACGTATCAAATGTTGCTGTATTGTATGGAGACGTCACAATACATATCCAAGCTGTATATAAATACACATATATCACACTTTGAGTTAGTTCTCAACGAAAACATCGATATAAATAAGTCAAGAAAGACATTATTCGCAGCTTTAATACTCTTGCAAATAATAACGTAGAAAAAGCTGCACGAGAACCAATAAGTATAAGACAGAAAAATCCAACTGCAGAGTAATACTGTAAGTTCGTCTGGTCACAGTGGAAAGCTACACCACCACAATAAAATTCGAGAATAAAATTGATTTCCAGTAGCCATTTATTTAAACGTAGGAGTGGTCAAACATATTAATGTATTTAAATTTAAACATTGAGATTTTACTAAACTATTTAAATCTTTTAAGAATATTTTTTTTTATTCCTTCACGTTCCCAATGGAATATAGGGCTTCTTCAAAAAACACGAGTATACGAAGAACGTGAATCAATACTATGTGGTAATACAAACGGATAGTGATTTGGTTTCCACTCAATCACAGAGGATAGGATTTTAAATTGAAATATGTTTTATGTAATAGATAAAAAAATTCAACAGCTGTTTTACAATATCATTTGATTTAATCAGGTGAGGAACATTCATCAACCTGAAACCAATCTGGAAATCTTCGTCACTCAGCATCAACAACAAAATTCCGATTTTCAATACAAACGTCAAGTCAGTTCTTCTATACGGATCAGAAACTTGGCAGGTCACAAAGAATATTTCCAACAGCCTGCTGCAGACCTTTATCAACAGCTGTCTTCGTTCTATAGTGAAGATCAGATGGCCAGAAAGAATCACCAACAAGAAGCTATGGGAACAAACGAAACAGGAACCAATCGCCCAACAAATATGCAGGAGGAAGTGGAGATGGATTGGACACTCGCTGAGGAGGCCGTTGAGTGACATCGCGCGTCAGGCCCTCGAGTGGAACCCGAAAGGGAAGCGACGAGTGGGACGTCCAAGGGTGACATGGAGGAGATCGTGTGAGGAGATGAAACAGTATGGAATAACATGGACGCAAGTGAAAAGTACAGCAGAAGACAAGCAAGTGGAGACGTGCAGTTGAAGCCCTATGTTCCACTAGGAACCCAAGGGAACAATAATAATAATAATAAGTCTAACCGCGTTCACAAATATGATGATTAATGACAAACCAACTCACAATACACATTAATTTAACAATATTCGAAAGAAGTTGAAGATAAATCGGTTGGAACTGTTGAATGTGAAATGGAAATATTGATTACTATATTTTTTTGAAAATACTAGGGAAGTGTGGTGGTGGATAAGATTACTATCACTAAGGAGACATTTAACGCAATAATGTAGACACACCAGCAGGTGGAACTCAAATGAGAAACGACGGGTTGGGCATGAGTCCGAGTGTGACATGAAGGAGATCGTGTGAAGAGGACATGAGAGGTGAGTATGGGCAATCGAAGGGCCAGGTAAAGAAGAGTGAGCCATGATACATTAAACCATCCGTCTAGCTACAAGGACTGTGTTATGATGCTAGATCCTTTGTCACGCGGTCACTGCTTAACTACTGACCAGTGCCCACTTAACTGGTAAAGCAGAACACGAAGAGAATCAACGGTAAAACCAGGTTCCTTTATTATGACAAAAGTGACTATTTATACAGAAAATAAGGTAGACTGGAAATCAACCAATCCGGTTGAGAGTTGGAATTGTGCAAGCGTCCAATCAGAAGCAGGAACAATCGCATGTCAACGACTTGTTAATAACGCGGTAATAACTTTACTGAGAGATGATAATGACCTGATAATTGCATGTGTTTTGCCTCTTCCTAACAACTTCTAACTAATGTCAGCTCATGATGAAATCCTCCATACAACTTTGAAATACTTTTTATGCCTTCTCACACTTATATATCATCAAGTGGTCCTTGTGGATAATCCCTGCTCCCATAAACGATAGGGTACGGCCAAGGGTGGGTAGACCTCGGTCTTCCTCTTGAAATGTTCTCACGTGGCCACGCGTTCATATCCTCTGTCACTTAAGTCCTACTCACTGAAGACAGTCTTTCACGCGACAGGAGTGTTCCACACAAAATTCAAAGGCAGAATGAGAAAGTCTGGCGCTTAAAACTGGACTGGTAGACACACTGGTCTACCTAGGGGGACCGGAAAACCCTGCTTCCAAACCTATATTGTCAACATGAGCTCCAGAACCCCATAGGATTGAACGGTGTGTGAACCTGTTTCGGTCACTATCAACCATGGGAAGGCAGCTCCACTTCCATATAAATCAAACTTCAGGTGAACGGCTTGGGGAGTGGCCTCATAAGACAACCACCTGCTTCAGTCTGGGCGTTTGGATGGTATTCCAGCTCTCGCACAAATTATAACATTTTGTGTGGCGCATTTACTAATATAGTGAAAATCTCATCCAACAAATACTCCAAATCATACACTCAAAATTCCTCTATCACTAATCAAAGTCTGGAAAGACAAAATAATTCCGAGAAAGCAAAAAAAATACACGTACTTGTGAAAGTGGACTTTGAGCAGCTAACAAACGTTCTGCAGCTGAACCATGACGTTCACCTTTACTATCTTTCTTGAATGCATAGGATATTGTGATGGCACGATTACACAAATACTGTCCATTCATTGCTTCAATTGCTGCATCACTAGCTTCAAAACTTGCAAAATTGATAAATGCATAGCCTTTAGAATTTCCTGTCTCCGGGTCACGCATAATCTTAGGTGTTTGAAGGATAACACCAAATGCACTGAAAGTATCGTATAATAGTTTTTCATCTACTTCAGGATCTAAATTACCAATGAAAATATTAGCACCAATATCGAGATTTTTTTGATTTGCTGATGCTTTGTTCACACGAATAGGTTTTCCATACAATTTGATCATATTCATAATACGCATAGCATAGTCAGCGTCTTCTTCTGTCATGAATTCTACGAATCCATAGCTAGAAAAAGAAGGAAAAAAAACACACGACCAGACACTGAAGATAAAGACTGTGTATAAATTAGAATAAACACTGGAAATATGTATGCTGTGATTCTCAACTTTCCTATATTATTATTATTGTTCCCTTGAGTTTCGAGTGGAACATAGGGCTGGCTTCAACAACACAACTCCACTTTGTTTTGTTTTCTGCCATCCTCTACAGCTAGGTTCATGATTCACCAAACTCTCTCATCTCTTCCTCAAACGATCTCCCCTATGTCACCCTAAGACGACGTACTCGTCGCTCCATATTTGGATTCCACTGGAAGGCCTGGCGTGAGATGTCATTCGGCGGCCTCCTCAATGTATGCCCCATCGGTCCATCTCCACTTTCTCCAACATATTTGTTGAGCGATCGGCTCTCGTCTGTTGGTTTGTTCCCATAGTTTCTTGTTGCTTATTCTTTCTGGCAGGCCATTCGATCCTCAATATGGAGCCAGCGAAGGCATCTGTTGATGAAGATCTGCAACTTGTAGGAAATCCTTTTCGTGACACGCTGACGAAGTTTCTGACCAGTATACAAGGACCGACTTCACATTGATATTGAAAATGCGAATCTTGTTCCTTATACTGAGTGCAGAAGATTTCCAAACTGGTTTCAGGTTGATGAAGGTGTATCTTGTTTTTCCTATTCTGACTGTCTGGCTTTGACATCTTTATCCGTTCCACCTGTAGTTGAAACGATGCTTCCTGGTTAGATAAGTGAGGGAGGTTACCTCTGTTAAATCTCTCTCGCTAATGGTGATTGGTGCTGGTTGATGCTGTTGCTGTTGGTTGGTTGGTTATCTTCATCACCTAGGCCTTCTCTATGTTCACTTGGAGTCCAGTTTTCGCTGCCTCTTCCGTCAGTCTGTTGGTTTTCGCTTGTAAGTTTTCGAGTTTGTATGACATTAGACATATATTATCTGCGAAATCCAGATCTTCTAGTCTTCTTATCGGTCGTCCTAGGCTGGTTAAATTCGTGTACTAGTATAATACAGGCCATAATTCCAACCAGAATATGCTAACCAGTTACTGAATTCCGATAACCGGAAACAGAAGTGTAGGGAAGCTAGTTTTAGCAGGAATACGTACGAGTACCATGCATGAAAGTCATTCAACCCAACGGTTCGAACACTTTCATTTAGAACTGTCTAGCTAAAGAGTAAGTTGAACACTATACAATGGTCTACTACGCAAACTAAGAATTTAACTAGTGAGTCACAAGTTCGAAATTCATCATGACTACAGAGATTTAAGCAATTAAGAACCAGTATTGTTAAAGTTACCTGGCTGCCTAATACTTAATAAAATAGCTAAGTACCTTGTTCGATGGGCTGCAAAATTACAGGTCGTGATATTTCGCTTTCTACCTAACTTGGTTTCCAGCTAAACAAGAATTCTAAATGCACGTTACAGGTACTCGAAAGCCTAAGTTTGAAGGACATCTTATATGATTGTTCTCTCTATTGATACTAATTGGTATAACTTTTATTTGGTGTTTACCTCGACAAAATATCCCATACAGTTGATCTCCCAACTCATACTTTTTTTATTCCTTTACGTTCCCAATGGAACATAGGGCTTCAAGCTAGAGGTTTGAAGTTTCTGTAGCAGTGGTGATTACTTTTACAGGATGGGGTTGTTAGCCTCATGCCCAACCTTCCCTCTTTACCAGTCTTATTACTGGCTTAGCAAGGTAAAGGAGCGCATCCGTTGGCCGCGGATCGAACCCCGGACCACCTGCGTGGTCGGTGAGCCTTCTATCACTGTGCCACCGGTGCACACTCATGCTTACGCATATTCTCATCTTCCAAATTTTACACAGCCTTGATATATACCATTTGAAATAGTGCTTTATTATAACTGGTACTTACTGCTGTTACAGATGTAATTCCTTAATGCACACGACACTACAAATATAAGAGATACTACACATTAAATGAACAAAGTGTTTCGAATTTCGATGACCCCTGAGAAAATATTACAAAAATGCAGCTCACTGGACTAAGTACACAACTTGTACCCAGTAGATCCCGAGTCCACACCCTGTGTTACCTAATCCAGCCTGGTGAATCAGGTAGCATTACCAGCCCTTCTACGTGTCACTCAACCTGGTAAGAATACATTTGTCCGAAGCGATTTATAACTAAGTGAGAATTACTTTCAATGAAAACATTCCTATTGGCAGGCAGACAGTGTCACGAATACTTTATCGAAAAAAATCTCAGTTAAAATGGGAAAATTTAGGATGGTCACACACCATTAATTCATGAAGTAATAAACTACTCTTTCAAGTATGTTATCAATTTTTGGGGGACAGGCTAACTACAACTCATCAGATTATCTGGAAAACAACAAAATGTTATCCAGAGCACAGCACGGATTCCGAAGAAAGCTGGATGGAATCAAGGAACAACAGAAGACTCCTTGATGTCGTCTTCATAGACTTCAGTAAAGCCTTCGATAAAGTTCCCCACAAAGGACTACTCATGAAGTTGGAAAGTCTTAGTATCAAAGGCAGCTTACTAAAATGGATTACAGAATTTCTCATAGATAGGAGGCAGAGGGTTAGGATCAACTCGAAACTCTCCTCTTGGACAGCAGTGGGTAGCGGAGTGCCACAAGGCACGGTACTCGGACCTCTCCTATTTATTTTGTATATCAATGAGTTATCTCTACTCAGCGAATCCCCTATGGTCCTATACGCAGATGACTTAAAAATTTGGAGGGATCTGAAAGGTAACACTGATACGCTCACTTTGCGAAAGGACCTCAACAAATTGTCAGAGTGGTCCAGAGAATGGATGCTCCCGATCAATGTAGCAAAATGTGAAACCATGCGCATCGGACACGCAATCACCAGCTTCTACGAACTACAGGGAATAACACTCCCGTCAGCTCAGACTCATTTGGATTTAGGTGTGATAGTTAACCACGATTTAAATACTACAGCAGACTGTCGTGCTGTGGCTGCACGTAGTTTCAGATCCTTATGGGCAATTTGCAGAGCCTTTACTAGAATCACCAGATATATGTTCACCTCCTTATATACATCTCTGTTGAGGTCAAGACTGGAAAATTGTATTCAGGCAGCCAGTCCTTGTCTTAAAGGGGACTCACAAATTCTAGAAAGGGTCAGAAGTAAGGCAACATGTGTGATTCTTAGCATGACTAACTTACCATACGAAGAAAGACTAGACAGTTTAAATCTCTTCTCCTTGTCACACCGTAGGCAGAGAGGAGACTGAATCACAATGTTTAAAATTTTATATAATGACCACGAATCTGACCTATTCTCTTTTTTCCCTCCCACCAGTTCGGAACACCTTAGAGGATATAGCAGGAGAGTTCAAAAGCCAAAAAGAAATCATATAGCTGTTGGGTACTGGTTCTCACACCGAGTCCTAAACTCTTGGAACCGACTCCCAGAAGAAATGGTGTCTGCAACCTCAACTGATTCATTCAAGAAGGGTTTGGATAACCACAGAAATTTACTAGAAAAGGATTAACATAGGCTCCAAACCTTCTATCCTCAACCAATAAATCTGAATCACAGCGTTATTTCTAAACACGTTCTTTTCAAGCGTTATTCGGTGAATGAGACTTAAATTACTCACGTTCATGAGTTGTGTCGATCCGTCATTCAGAAAGTACCCAAAACTAATGCCACATAACAATATTACAGTGAAGTTTAGAGGCCTAAGAAAAGTGGAAAAAAGTACCCACATTGGAATTCTATTTAGTGACATGAAACGAGGATAATATGGATACTTTATGCAGACGAGCGTCGGTGGCACAGCGGTTAGGACGCTCTCCAACCATGCACATGGTCCGGGGCTCGATCCCCGGCCGGCGCTAAGCCAGTAATAAAAGCTGTTAAGGAGGAAAGGTTGAGTATGAGGCTAGCAACCCCATCCTGTAAAACCAAATACTGCTACAGAAACTTCAAGCCTCTAGCTTGAAGCCCTATGTTCCACTGGGAACGTGAAGGAATAAAAAAAGTGCAGACGAGGTAGAAGGACGAGTGATGATTCCCCCCATATTAGAAGAGAGTATGTTGATAACAAACTGCCCTTACAGGATGACCTGAACATATTGAAGAACTTTGAGTTTTGTGACATTCTTGAAGATATTCACGGGAGACATGTTTCAGCTGTTGTATCGAATAGAACTTAGACCTCACTTAGATCAATTGGACCTATATTAACGAGTTCAAGCACTAAGTAAGAAACGGATTACGCAAAATCTTTAGGGAGGAATAGCCCAAAGTTTTAGACGTTGTTGTATTGTAGGATAAGAAGTTATTTCATATAAGCACGTTTTTAGATGACTGGCAATTTTATTTGTGATACTGGTACCTTCCATGTCGAAATTACTATCTGGTTGGAGAATCTCTAAACTATTGAGGAAAATTTATTGTCATACTTTCACATAGTACCTAAGTAATCCTAGTAACTATAAAGTTGACTTTGGTTTGAAAAAAAAAACTACCAAACAGCACACATGTTCTGGTCGCCAAATACTGGTGACAATAAACATACCCTTGATGCTGCATATTTATTCTATCCTTGGGCATATGAACATTGACCACCGGACCTGCCTGAAGAAAAAGTTCCCAAAGAATTGATTCATTGACTTTTTCATCGAGACCACCAACATAAATTGTGGCGTCCTGATTACGTTCTTCCATAGTCCCAATAGTCATGTTTGATTAAGTAGTAGATTGGTTGTGTTTTGGTACTTTCTCGAAGGTTAATAAATTAAAACTAGTACTATCAGAATAAGAAGTAGATTACAACACGTAAGTGTAGCGAACAACAATCATAACCGCGGTAATCTAATATTCAATGTTTGGGTATGTGGTGGAGGAAGGAAAGTTTCAAAACTATGTTAATTCCTTTCTTAAAAAATCCAGTATTTACTTAAAATAATCAATTGAGGTCATAGACACAAGTTTTTCCGACAGTCCTTTAGAATAGTTAATGATTCTGTGGCTAAACCAGAACAACACAGCAACATAGGTCCTCGTCTTTTGAACTCTCTGGCTATTTTCGCTGAGATGTTCCGACCTGCTGACAAGGGAAAGAATATATGAATCACGCCCGTAGTCATTTCTTAGGATTTTGGGGATCATAATTGGATCTCTCTGCTTAAGTTACTTTAAGTAGCAGAGATTAAGGATGTGAAGTAGCCCTTTGTATGGCACACTGGCCTTACCGGGAATTATATATGTATACATATATATTATTCGGTCTCAGAAAGATGCTTCCTACCTACATGGATTTTTCTAGTTTTGAACTCACTAGAGATGTGTATTAAATGGTGAACATCCCATTGATAATCCTATTGAGTGCTCTACACATTAGCTATAAAGAACTAAGGCTCAGAAAATGTGCCATACTTTTTGTACAGCAACTTACTACGACAACTATATCCGTGTTCCATGGTACTTTCATGTCTGATGAGCGTGGTAGATAACTGCACTACAGTGACGGGAAATATTCGTTCTTTAGACCAACCTAACAGATTGTTGAGATTTGTTTGTCACTTCTGCCTTCTGAGGTCTCTTCAAATTTTAAGGTCATGTGCATATATAACCATAAGAGATTCGGTGAGGCCAGATAGTTCGTCGAAATACAGGATAAATGAAATAGTTGGATTACTTTTTGGCACGCCACCACTTCAAAATGGTCTAGGGAGAGGCGTTTCTGAGTTGACTTCCAGGCAGTCTTGTCAAAAGCCTCAGTGAAATGTAAGGGGGCAATGCCTATGGGCGTCTTGTTATACACAGACTTGACCCAGCTTTCCAGTATTGCAAGGCCTTTCAGACACAAGAGGCTTCCTCGAAAATATTGTTGTGACTCAGAAAACAATTTTATTCTAACATTGGATGGTTAAAGTCTATTGGCCACAGGAAACCTGGAACCACCTAGGTTACGTGCTAGTTGGCGCTTACCAGTCAGCAAGGCGTATCTGCAACCACCTTCGAGGAACCCTTCTGAGATTCTAATCCGCGTCATCCAATGCTGCAGTCAGTAAGAAACGTTACCACTGAGGTATTCGGGCTCGCGATTGACCTCCTGTACCATTGTATTGTATATTTTTGTTTAATTGGTCACTAGTTGGTAACTAGTGTAATGCGTCTAGGACACGGTGTTGGTGCAGACCGAATTCCAGCAGTCACTTTAGCGATGTAGTCAGCATGCTTGGTGGCTCACCATCACGGCTCACTGTGCTTTGTTGATGCTGGATGGTGGCCACATTGAGAACTTGACTGATAGAATTCAGTTTGCACCAAACAAAGGACTAAACACATTACACTAGTTACTAACTAGTATCAACTCAAACTTACTTTTTTAGTATGGATTGACAGCTTCTCTAATTACCGTTTTCGAACATTATAGACCTTGTTGAATTCTTTTGCTGCTTCTTGGTAGTGAAGAAAAAATCACTGATCTTCATTGTTTTTCAATGCGATCATTCTTGTCACTCGCCTCCTCTAGCACCGATGGACTCCCAGCTGACTGGGAAGTTGGCAAGATCTGAACAGTGTAAGTTCATTCCACAGTTCAACATACAATATACTTGTTGCCAACAATAGTGAAGTGACATATTTCTTTTCTCCAGCTCCCTTACAGTGTAGAATGCTCCTTTGTGTTTGGTAGATTTGTGTGCTTAATTATCAATTTCTTTATCTGTGCTGTCTGATTCTCACTGTGGAAAACTGAGCTTTCAATGGACAAGAGTGCGGTTGGTTCGCAGTCGAATGATGGTGCATCCTCATATTCTCTTTAAACCATAGTTAATAAATACATCACTGAACAGTGACGTGTAATATATGTTATAGACACTTATATTATATTAGTTATCATATTCTCCCTTTCCAGGTATGGTGGTGTTAAGAGCAGCCTACAACTGTATAAGGTGGTCTGGGCTAAAGAGTAAGCAACTAATGTAGCGGTAGAAAACGAAGACTGAGTAAAGGAGTTTATTTGCAATTTGGTATCTCTTTATAGCCAAATAATGTACACCCTATCGTCAACACACCATTTGCGCAGACCTTCCGTGTTGTTCTAGTTCTGGCCTTCCTTCATGTCGTGTTTCTCTGTCTTCCTTTCACGTCTCCCATGTATCCACGCAAAACTGAATCATTTGCTCTCCCTGACACCAAATCTATCTCCCTACTATTTGATGTTTTCATGACGATGAACATCTATTTATATGTATACTACTGATAAATCTCATCAGTAGCACACGCCATAGTTGTGTGGCCAAAGCCCAGTTGTAAAAGGGTGAATGACAACATGGCAGTCCATATCGTTGTTTCTAGTTGAAGCCTACTGGGAATGTGCTCTGAGTCAAGCAGCCTAAGTTATTGCTTTCTTGGAATTGTTGAACCCGACATTCTACCATGCTGCCCAAGTTCTACACTTACGGCAGCGTGAGCCAGTTTTCCAAATCATAGGAGGTGATGGTCATATGAATGCCTAGGTTATTGCAGCGTGCTGACGTGTGTGTGCGTTGCATTCAAATAACAATGGTAAATTAACATCAATAAGTTAGATCAAGCCAGTGAAACATACAGCATTTGTTCTTCTCTAAAAGGCCATTTTTTCACTGCATGTCAGTGAATATGAGAGGCGGTATCTATCTTTTATGACGTAACTACTTATATGCTTATCATGACTAAAGAAGTCAATCCTAATTGGTGAAATTGTATTTGTTTGGAATTTAGGCATTAACTATTCATTACTTTTTCAGGAGCGACTTTATTGCATATCCCCTCAATGATGTTTGTCTCATTGTTGCTATTGGTTTCAAGTGGCCTTGGTTTCGGGGCGAGATTTAACTGATATAATATTGTGATTTCATAGACATATCTCAGGCTCATACGTGAAAGAAAGTTATTATCCTGTAATAAAGAAAAGTTGTTCAGAAGGTAAGGAGGACGTTATTTTTCAGTTTATTTGTGTATATACTATTGTGCACCGAGTTGCATTGAGTTCTTAGTGCAACTGTATGTAACTGCATTTACATAAAGTGAAACATTAGGAAGGCTCCTGTTTCTAGAATAAAAACATTATTATCATTAAGTTTAGTAATGAAGAATGGAATTTCTTGAACGTCAATGTTATTTAATTGAAGTTGTAATCTGTGTAGGCCCTCGGAGGAATAAATTCGGCATGGAGATCTCCTATGTAAACTGAAAGTGCTTTTAGTTTAGTAAATTTCACTGACTTCCTGTATAAATTTGATATTTGTCAGGTGTATATTTCAAATCCGCTGGAGTATTCAGTAAAGTAAAAGTTGTGGTGCATGATTCCAAGACTTGTTGTAGTCATTGGTATTGCCAGGATACCACTTACTCTTTTTATGCACCCAAAATATGCAAATCTCGCTTTAATGAGGAAACACTATAATGCCTGCAAAAGTACTGCGTCAGTTAATGAGTTTCATAAATTCTACAGAATGTTTTCTATTCAGTGATTACTGTTTGCGAATTATCCGAGAAAACACATTTCCAATTGGGATGTAACACAAGACTAAATTCTTAAACTGTCATCCTTATATCATTTCAATCCAATCACACATATATCAGTAGGATAGTCTATGACTGACTTTAGAGACTTATCATGGTCATCAACTTACAGTTTGCTGATGATACTGCACACCTGGACTATGAGAAGTAACTCCTGATACTGGAAGATATGAAAAGAATACCGGTGTTTGATTATAGGTGTCTGTGTTCTATCTCATGAGTAAAGCAGTATAATATGGCGATTGCCCTTGAGGTTACGCATAAAGTGTTAGGCGAGGAGGGTAAGTTAGTCTTCAAGGTGGGGAAGCTGAACAGGTTCAGATGGCTATAACACGTGATTGCATACCAAGCCATCGCCTTCCTCGTGGGATAGTGTTAGCCAGCACATGTTAAGTTTCAAAATGTGTTTGGGTCGGTCGAATGAAAAACTGCTATTGGTTCATAAAATCGTTGACAGTCAGCTAGAAGAACTACTAGATATATGTCTACAAGTCTTTGTTTATGGCACAGATGCATTCACTCTGTGTAATCTCACGTATCTATTCAACTCATGTTGTCGCTATTTATTTTCCCTCAAATTTTCGCTCGTTAAACTTCCATTTAGTTTTATGTCTCTACCTTTGTGTGGTGCATGGAGTGTGGTAAACTAAACAGTTGGACTTCTTTGCGAAGTCATACTGAAAGCCAGGCAGAATGACACAGACTAGGCATAACTAAATGCGAAACACTGAATAATGATCTCCAGAATGTCAACAAATGATAATGAATTCTTAATCTTGTTCTTTGCTAAATGACAAATAAATACCTTTCAGTAACCTCTTCATCCACCCGGGATTCGTCTCCTACTTTGCAAGTGTTTTTTGTGCTTTATCACTTTTGTGCTAAGCTTTCAGTTATTCAGCATATGCCGTTGTTGACTAAGGACCTAGATGACATTAGTTTAGTTTCGGTCGTGCAAACACGAGTCCTGTGCAGTTGACTGGTTGCATTATCATTTCTCAAATGGTATACAGCATACTGTATATTAGGGTAAATCTTCCGCCTTGCTTGCTGAAGGTTGTGTTCCTCAAGGTACTGTTATCTCTCCTTTACTTTTTTCTCTCTCGTCTTACATGACTTTTCTCTTTCTAATGAGAGCAACTTTGTCAAATACGCCGGTTATCTGACCGTCTCACTTCTTGTCATGTCACAGTGTGTCACCAGGAGGACTTTATTTTTGAGTTTATTCATATGTATACTGTTGCGCATCGAGTTGCACTGCGATTCCGCATTTAGCAAAAGATTATGAATACCTTGCTCTTCTCTTCTGCATAAGAAAGTTACTTCACAAGATTCGCTATATTAAGCTCAGTAAGGACAAATATGAATTT